CCTATTCCCCAGTGTCAGTTGAAATATAGAAACATATCAAAATAATTTGAAAATTTCATCCAGTAACATTAACATTCTGTTCTGTGGGACGATTTAGAATATTATTATAAAAGAACACCAACTTTTTCTAGGGAAAGCCATAGTTTCTTCCTACTGCTTAAAAATGCAGAATCAGGTTTTCAATGCTGCTCAGATTTTTGCTTATGCCTACACCTGAAGACCTCTTTTGCTACAGCAGTTAGTTAATGCCTATTTTGTACCATAGTAAAGCAGCTAAATTCAGTCCTTGGTGAGTTGATTTTGCATTCAAATTTAAAAAAATCTTTAAATGCTTTACCTTTCTTTCTACTGAACCTCTCTGTCTGCCTGTTAACTGGTTTTCATTTTGGAAACTTAGGCTAAAAAATACAGACGTTTCTGAGGAAAGTTTTTTAAATAAATACAAAGTCTTTTGAGAGGTAGTGGATTCCAAGCCCATCCTTCTATGCAAATCTTGATTGTGATATTGAAGAACCTGAATCTCTCTTATAAAAATAATTGCTTTTATACAGTGTGAATATTCAGGATTCTATAGATTACCAAGCAGTATATTAAAAGAGAGAGTTAGTTATTTTAAATAGATGTTCTTTATTGTAAAGTAAGGAGATTTTAATTTTCAATAGAATGAGAAGCCTTATGGTTTTTCAGCTTGAAAAACTGTTACTACAAGTGAGTGGCTGTCCCAACACAGTTCCTAGAATGGGAGTTATGGGGCTTTTCCTGTTAATAGGTGGTTAGAATTAGACCATCAACGCTCAAATTCTTATAATCCATCTCCAAAAAGTAGCTCAGTCAGCTGCACAGTGAGTCTCTGTATGGAAAAAACTTAGAATGGGCTTGAGTTGGTTTTTTGATTCATAATGGTCGAGCTTACAGTAGAATACAACAGAAATTCAGAATTTAGTCTAGTGTATAATAAATACTTGCAGTTTGTATTCATAGCTCAAAAAATGGCTTTGTGAAAATTTGTGGAAGTATTTTTAACATGAGGTTGCTTTGTTACTTGAATTTTCTTCCTAACTTTCTTTCCTTTGATGTCTGTTTCTCTTTCACAAGCAGGAGCAACCATCAGGGTAACAGGTATCTGACTATTTACCAATCTTGTATGTGGTCTCCATCTACTCAAGCAGAAAAGATGTATGAATCTTGTTTTCATACATCTGCAGTCCCATCCATGTTAAAAACCACCTGTCTGCATTCATGGATTGACTGTCATACCATAGTTTGCTTTTCCCTTTCATAATGCATTTAAAAGTGAGACTGCATTTATTAGTGCCAGAGCAAATATTTTGCTTCATCATCTTTTATGAAACAATTGGACCCTGACCTATGTTGCTTAATCACTGCTGAATCTCCTGGTTTCAGTCTATTTGGGGAAAAAAATATCAATTTTGGCATTAAATATTCTCTTAAGTGTAAAATTTTTTTCAAAATAAACCCCATATTTCACATCTTTCAAAGAGCAGAGAACTTACTACTACCCAAAGTAAAATAAATGGTTTGTTACAATTTTAAAGGCATTTGGTTCCAGAATTATTCAGATCAAATTTTTACTTACAATAAAGAGCAATTGGGATTCGTAGTTTCTTTGGGATCTTGCACTTCAAATGACTACAGGACATAACCAGCTGGTGCCCAGCTGCATTTGATTTCTATTCTTTCTGCAGTTCTGTTTTTCACATTTTCCCCTCAGTTACTCAGTGCCTTTGGTTTAATATTATTCTGCAGAACACTGACTATATATACACCCCATTCAAGCTACAACTGAAATTTTTTAAAAATAAATTGTTATGCTGCGTACACTGGGGAAAACTTGAAATATTATTATTATTATTCCCTAGAATCCCTAAAGTCTGTAGACTAATTTTATGGAGCTGCTTAGGTAGTGGATGTGTGGAGACACACTTCAAACTATGCACAATAAATGCAGTGAACCCAAGATGGATAAAGATGGAGGTCAGGCTGTAGTAATACTATGTATTAGCTCACACCATAGTTCAACAAAACACTAGTTAACAGAATTTTCAAGCTAAATACCCAAACTCTTTGGGTATATTAAGGTGATGTGTTAAAATGACAAACTTTTTTGTGAAATTTGAATTCTCAGGAGCTGTTTTAACTTAAGCTCAATTCATTAAAAAAGGGGAAGCTCCAAACCCTGTTCTGTCAGTATGCTGACTGAAAAAGTAGATATTCCACCTTTTTGGACAGTTCTTACAAGGTAAAAAAGTTGCATTGTTGTTAGAAGAGATGTAAAAAACAGAAATATGTTTTTAAAAGCTGAGAAGTTCTGCGGAGAAAACTCTGTCTTCTCCATTCAGTATTATACTAAACAAGGATAACTTGCCATTTTAAAATATGAAACCAGTCCCTTCCCATGCCAGGAAGCACTGGAATGCCTACGGATGCCTGTGTCTGCGTAGAAATGTCTGACATGCACATACTAATGACACTAATGTTTCCTCCCATTGTGATGCTTAAATACTGCTTGTAACATCAGTGTGACAAACAATGTAACCTGGAGGTCTTTGTTTTGTAGCTGTGCTGGGTTATCACTTGTTTAGAATACAGTAGCATTTCCCAAAGATTTTTCTTATCCAACATTCACTTGGACTTGGTGCCTTTCACTGGAATTCTGACCTGTAGGAAGTCGATTCCAGCTGTGTTGACCACCAGTGTGGTGTTTAACAACTCATAGGCTTTTTCTCAGAGAAGGGATTCAGGGTTGTTTCCATTCTAGTTACAGCTGAATTGTGTTGAAGTTTCAGCTGGAAGAGTGAGAAAGGGCGGGGTCAGGAATAACCTGGAATCAGCCACAGGATTATTGAGCACGTTGTTTCCTTTGCAGCTGAAACCCAGCTGGACGTACAGCTCCAACCCTGGCCCCCAGCTCAGCAGTGACCCTTTTGAAGACCTGTCATTCCAGCTGCTCATGTCCCAGATGCAGACATGTGTCCGAACATCACCCGCTCCAACCTTAAGCCAGGAGTTGACACCTTTGCCTTCAGCAGCACAAAGAAACGCTGATAATTTGAATACTATAAACTGCATGCCAGCAATGCCTCCTATTCCAACCTTCCACTCATCCCAGGAGCATAAGCGCACCTCTCCAAATCCATTTATTACTGGGCTGAACTGCACAAATCCATTCACTGAAAGGACTCCTAATGCTGGGAACCCGTTTAGGATGGAAACGCAAGGGTCCGGAATAACCTCACAGGTATGGGAAGGACCTGCGGTTTCCCATCCTTTCCCTTCCCTGCCCCGCCCCAGCTGTAACACAGCCAAGCCTCTATTTTCTGTGGATGCAGCTGAAAACACGTTTTGCTTGCCAAGTAGATCTCTCAAGGCAGAAAATGTGCAGCCCAAGGGGTGGGTGACATTTGATGAGGACGAGAACTTCAATCTGAAGCTAAAGCCATCTACAAGTGTCCCGGATTTTCAGAGACTCGGCTCCAGGAAGTCAGCCGGATCTCCAGGTTTGCTGGGCACTGAACAAAAGACTTTCCTTGGTTCAGACTTTAACTTTGGTGATGACTGGAATAAAAGCTCTACTGATTGCTTCTGTGCAATGCCAGCAAGGAGACCCCCTGCACCCCCTGTACCATCCAGAGCAACCAGCAACAGGTCCCCTGCAGATCCCTTCGCCTCCTCAGCACCCCAGGTGTCACCAACTCATGATTTTACAGAAAGATAGTTGTTCAAAGATACAACAGGTTGTATTTGTTGCTACATTTATCCAGTAGAATAATTGGGTATTTGAGATTATTCTGTGTGCAATAATTAAGTGTTAAATGCACTGAAACTTAACTCTACTCATAAACAGCCACTATTGCTTGTGTATAAATTTTGAATGTGTATATATGGTAGAGCACAAAAAAATTGTCTGAAATTTATTAAAATCCTGATGTAATAGTATTTGAACAGACAGAAAAAGAGAAGAAGGATGAGCTACTGATGTCATTAAAATCTACCAATCCTGGACATAGATTTTGCTTAGGGAGCTCTCTCATTTCTGGTCCCCCTTGTGGAATTCCACAGAAAGAGGCTCCCTGCTGGTAGCCTCCCCCCTCCCTTTTGACTGTTTTGTTTATTGTATTTATAAGTATTTACCAAAGAGCTGCCAAAGTTTATTGAGATTTGAATGTTGAAAAGTATTGTTTAGAAGTTGTTTTAATTTATAACAGAGGCTATGGATATTTGTAAGGCTTATATTTGAATTTGAGGCACAACGAAAGTAGTTTACTTTCAAAATACAAACAAAACTTTGCATATTAATATATTCAACTAATTTTCTGTGTCAGTACATTTCAGCTATTAAATCCTATTGTGACATACACTCACTAGCACTAATTCAGAATAATTGTTCCATATCATCTATTTATTCATTACTATTTTAACTATATTTTTTTTTCCAGAAATTAGAAACAACATATAGAAAAAGTTTTCCCTCAACCTCCTGAAAAAGATTCCCCTTGGGTTTTGAGATACAAAGCAGTCTTTACCAGTTGCAGACAATATAGTCTACCAGCCAGGGAGTGAAACAACACACTAACATTGTATTTACAGTAGCAAAATACTCCAGGGCAGTGCGCTTTTTAAATTCTCCAGTGCTATCAAGACATGATCTATAAAATAACGCATTGTTCCTTTGAGCAGTCCCTGGTTAACCATGAGCTGCAGCTGTGTAGAGCAGTGATAGTGAGTTTTATATGGCGCTTTTTTCTGTTCAGGTCCCTCAACTTGTACATTTGGAACAGCAGTGGTACCGTTTGTGCTTCGGTGTGTGAGTTACCTTGTTTTACGCTGTTGCTATAAACATCTGTGTGATCAGTGTTTTGGTATATTCCTACATTGGCAAGCCAATTTTGGGGGGAAACTTTTTGCTGGTGGGAGTCACGTGATAAATATGTTGTCGAATATCTAACTGCAGTGATTAAAAACTACTGTCTGAACTGTACCTGGTGTTAGGCACCTCTGCACTTCACAGGGCTGTGGGACTGGAGCAGCACCTCCAGGGACCACTGGGAATGCTCTGGAATTCCAGTATGTCTATAAATATATATATATATATATATATATACACACACATATATATATATATATATATAGGTAAGCTACAGTAACGCCGTGACGTGTGTTGTTGGATGGGAGCGACGACCAGCAGCAGAAGCCCTGAAAACAGGAAGAATTGAAGTGTGATGTGACGCGCTCCCCCAGTGTCACTGGGCGCTGTTCCCGGTGCTCCCGCACACCTCTCCATGGCTGTATCTCCCTGCCCGGGGACACCCAGGTGTCCATGAAGCGAACGTTCCTGCCCCTTGGTCCGGGTGCTCGTTCTCTCTCCGTGCCCCGGGGCCGGCCCTGGGACCGCCGGCCGGGGCGCGCGGGCCCTTTAAGGGGCGCCCCGGTGGCTTCCCGGGAGGGCCGGAAGCGGAAGCGCCGCCGTTGAGGCAGCTCCGGAGGGTCCCGGCGGATCCGGAGGGTCCCGGCGGATCCCGAGGATCCCGGCGGATCCCGAGGATCCCGGTGACAGCGGGGGCGGCCCCGGGAGCGGCCCCTTCGTACCCTCAGCGCGTCCCGGGTCACTGGGCGCGGCCGTCACCCCGCGTTGGCTCCTCCTCGCCGGTATCCAGGGACGCGGCTCCGTTGCTGAGGGGCTCCGCCGGGCCCGGCCATGGTGCGGCTGCACGTGAAGCGCGGCGGCGAGAGCCAATTCCTGCTGGAGGCGCCGGGCAGCGCCCGCCTGGCCGAGCTGGCGCCGCTTGCCGCCCGCATCCACAACGGGCGGCTGAAGGTGCAGCGCCTGTGCTCAGGTACCGCCCGGGAACGGCGCCCGGGCACCGGCTGGGCAGCGGGAACGCGCCTCCTCCTCCCTCAGCAAGGGCGGTGACCGCCCACCGAAACCGCATGGGAATTCCCGGCCTTGGGATTTTAGTGCGGGCACTGCATAGGGCTGGAAACGGACCCGCTACATGAGCCTGTGGTGGCTGCTTAAATCAGGGGCTGGAAGGGACTTAAACATCCAGTTCCACGCTCCCACACGGGCAGGGACACCTCCCGCTAGACCACGTTGCTCCAAGCCCGGTCCAGCCTGGCCTTGAACATTTCCTGGGATAGGGCAGCTACAGCTTCTCTGGGCAGCCTGTGCCAGGGCCTCACCACCCTCACAGGGAAGAATTTCTTCCTCATATCTCATCTAAATCTACTCCCCTTCAGCTTAAAGCTATTCCTCCTTGTCCTGTCACTCCATGTCCAAAGTTCCCATTTTGGCAGTGGAAAGGACTCCTTTGTGACCAGCAGTGTCCCTTTACACGTGAATGACACTGTTCCCTACCACGTACTTGGTGCAAAGCATCCCCTGCCATGTGATGGAGTGGCAGATGTGTCTGAACTGGTGCTGAGTTCAGTTCTGAGGCAGTTTTAAAAAATGTTTCTGCCCCTGCTGCGGGGCTGCCAGAGCTGAGATTCCCCTCAGCTGAGCCTGACCTGGGGGGTGCAGCCCACCCTCACCTGCTGTGCTCCAGCCACTGGGTTTGTGGCATGTCTGAGGCCTTACTGAGCCTGCTCTGAAATTTAAAAGAAAAAACAAACAGCTAAAGCTGATTAGGGAAATACCAAAAAGAAAAGTGTTGTGGCCAGCAGGTACCATCGAGGCTTGAATCCCTGCACGTGTATTTGTTATATTGTTGTATATGTATAGGAAATGTATGAATTTTGACATAACTACAGCATCTGTATCTATCTGTCTTTATATCCCTTAATATTTATTCCCTGTACTTAGCTGTTTAAACTGAAGGCTGGGGTTAAGGTTTGCCTGCACACACATCATGTGAAAGGCTTTTGAAAATGGTCTGTAATAACAAAGACTTTTAATCTTGTTCTCTAAACACTCAAAAGAGATGGAGGAGCTGGCAGTGCATGGTATTTCCTTGCCTTACAATATGCAAGGACTGACAGATGAGCAAATTGGAGAGCTGAAGTTAAAGGATGAGTGGGCAGAGAAGTGTGTCCCAAGCGGTGGGAGCATCTTCAGGAAGGATGAAATGGGACGGAGAAATGGGCACGGTAAGTCAATGTAAAGATTTGTTTCTTTCCCTGCAGACACAGACCATCTATAACAAACTCCTAATTCTGGACCTGAATAGCCAAAGTATCGGTTACATACCCAGGAGTTCTGTCTTGGGTTAGGGCCTGGGGTAATACTGATTTAAAAGCCTACAGAGCAGCATATCTCTTCAGCACACAAACAATCACCAGGAGCAAGTTGAGTGTCCATTGTAATTTACTCTCCCCATTTTGAAAATGTACACTTGAGAACTGGTTTTCTCCAGTGACTCCAAGATATATCAACAGGTTGTTTTTCTAATATTTCTCCTTTTTTCTCATTGACTGGGACTCAGACTCACTGAACACGTGTTTGTTAGTGAGAGGACAGCTTTATAATGTTGACAAATTCAGAATATTGAACGTGTGGATATATAGGCCAAACCAAATGCCATCAAGCACCTAAGTGGGAAATAAGCTGGGAATGAGTATGCTTTAATTGGATTTTTGTGTTTGAGGACAGGCTTTTTATAGCAATTAAAATAGATAAGTGTGATGTGATATGAAATGAACAGAGTATTTGCAAAACTGCCTTTGCTGTTAGATTGAGATTTTAATTAGAAAAAAGTCAGAACACTGTGAGCTGTTGTGCCCAGTAAAAGCACATCTGCCAGTATGGTTCCCAGTAGTCCAGCAGGGAAAGGGCCTTGTTTTATGTTGTGGAGGGTATGGGATTATGGTTGTTGCTTTCTACTCAGTAGCTTTCTACTCTACCTGTGTCCCAAATGAAGTTCCAAGTCACAGAATTGTGAAATCACAGAATGGTTTGGGTTGGAAGGGACCTTAAAGCTCATCCAGTTTCATCCTCTGCCATAGGCAGGGTCACCTTCCACTAGAACAGATTGCTCCAAGCCCTATCCAACCTGGTCTGGAACACTTGGGGATGGGGCAAATACCAGTCACATGTCTGGGGAAAAGTAAGTTTGACTGTCCCATGAGAAATACTGTTTTGTCTTGTAAGTTAGTGAGAAATGGGAATGAACAATCCAACTCATAAATAGGCTGCATCTTAGGAGTGTCTCTCCTGCTTTGTGATTCAACACTGTTTCATTCGCTCACAGTGGATTTTGGACAGGTTATGTGCTTGGTTTCTTTACAGTAAGTGTGGACCATGAAATATGTGTCTCTTATTTTTAGCTCCAAATGAAAAAATGCAGCAGGTTATAAAGAAGACAATAGAGGAAGCCAAGGCACTAATCTCTAAGGTAAATTTCCTCAAGTGGTATGTGGGACTTTCTTAATTAGTGCTGTGGGGTTGGGCAGCTTAAATAAAACCAGACTTCTTTCAGTGCAAGGGCTGCCAGCTCTTGAGAAATACCATGTAGTGATGTGAATAGTCTAATAAAAACTGACATCTCTGTTAATTATTTCCTTCGTGGCTTTTGGCAAGCTGGTTCAACAGGTTAAGGAATCAGATCCTAAACTCCAAGTGAATGCTGGCAGCCGAGCCCACGTGGAATGATTAAATCGCACTCAGGGTTTCCCAACAATTTGCTATTGATGTGTTCTTTGGGTGAATACTTGTCGTGCTTTCTGGTGAAAAATTAACTGGGTTCTGTGCTCTTCCTGGAGTCAACACAGCCTTTTGTGTTATATGTATACTTAATTGAAAAATGTGTTCTAATCTCTTAGATTATGACAGAATGGTTTGGGTTGGAAGGGACCTTAAAGCTCATGCAGTTCCAACCCCTCTGCCACGGGCAGGGACACTTTCCACTACACCTGGTTGCTCCAAGCCCCATCCAGCCTGGCCCAGGGATGGGGCAGGGATTAGGCTTTGGTTTGACAAGCACTTGGACTCATGCTCAGTCCCAGTGAGTCTGTTCAAAGACAAGTGTGAGGCCCTTGTGGGATGGTGCTTTCAGGTATTCAGCTTCGCTTTGCCAAATCTGTACATGTTCCATGTTGTGTGTCAACACTTGTATGACTTTGAAACACAAATTAAGTAATATTTATTATAAAATTTCCTCGTTGAATGAAATTAAAGATAGTTTGGGAAGTGGTTTGTTATGTACATCACTTTATAATGAAAATGAAGAAATGTGCATTTTAAGTTTTACAGGCTAGTTAACCAGATCGAGAGTGTCCACAAGGAGGCAACATTCTCGTACCTTATTATTTTAAATACTGAAACTGTTAAATCCATAGAGAAAAGCTTTATTTCTTCTCTTCCAGATGTATTATGTTTCTCCTTTATGCCTTGTGGCAGGGTTTGGAATGACCTCAAGTGTTTGATCATACAAGTCTCTCCAGTAGCTGTGCAATAGGACAAGAGGGCACGGTCTTAAACTGTGCCAGGGGAGATTTAGGTTGGATATTAGGAAGAAATTTCTTACAGAGACAATAATCAAACATTGGAATGGGCTGCCCAGGGAGGTGGTGGAATCACTGTCCCTGGAGGTTTTTAAGATGAGACTGGATGTGGCACTTAGTGCCATGGTCTAATAACCACGGCAGTGTTGGATCAAAGGTTGGACTTGATGATCTCAGAGGTCATTTCCAACCCAGTTGATTCTATGATTGATTCTATGAATATACCAAGCTTTATGCTTCTGCTCACATATGCTCTATTTTTTCTTTCAAGTTTTGGGCCCCTTCTTTATCCCTCACTTGAATTCTTCTGGTTTGAATCACATTCATGAATCACAAGTGCTTGGAACCAAAGCCTCTCTGTCTGATTTCTGTGGTCATACATGTCCTGGATTGAGTCCTGTGTCACACAGGCAGTTGGTGCTAAATGCCTCCTGCACAATTTAGTGGAGATCTCCTATTTTTGTTTCCTCCCCCGCCCCATGTAAGCAGGCTAAACAGAGGGGCCAAAGGGGAGTGATGTTCGCCAAAGTCCGTATTCCAACAAGGAAATTTGCACTTCTGGTATCTTTATGCAGTCCATTAGCTCTGCTCAGATATCCCACCTCTGAAACTTTGAACTGGCTACAAAGCAAAGTCTTCTGCAGGTTTGCTTAAATTGCCAATGATCCCTGTTTGTATTTCAGAAACAAGTTCAGGCCAACGTGTGTATTAATATGGAGATGGTGAAAGACGCATTGGAGCAGCTCCGAGGGGCTGTGATGATTGTGTATCCAATGGGATTGCCTCCACATGATCCAATTAGGATGGAGTTTGAAGATAAAGAAGACTTGTCAGGAACTCATGTATGCAGTAATGTATTCCCATTCTATGTAGTCCCTGGGTTAAACTTGTGCTATGCTGTTCTCCATCGTATCAATGAAGGTTGTTTTCACTTGCATTACAAATTTTGTTTAATATTTTAGTCTCACGGTTTA